GACCACACGTCACCCTATATCTGGTTGGATGATCGTTCACCTCTGCTTAGGCATGTGAACGTGAGGCCAGCAGTCAAGCTAGTTGGTTTTGGCTCCCTGGAGCTGTTACGCCACGGAGTTAATTTAATTTAAGTAATTGACCAACGAAGAAGTATTGAGGAGAGTCAACGAGCAAAGAAGCATTCTGCAGGCGATTACACGAAGGAAAGCTAACTGGCTGGGACATATTATGAGAAGGAATGGATTAATGAGTGATATCACCGAAGGCCAGGTTGAAGGAAAGAGAGGACTAGGAAGAAGATTGATACAGCTAACCGACGACCTTAAACAAGGAAAGAAGATGACGTTCCAGGAATTAAAGCGAGAAGCCGAGAATAGGGACAACTGGAGAGCTCTTTTTGGGCAGAGCAATGGACCTGTCGTAAGACAGAACACTTAATAATAATAATAATTAAAGTGCTGTTATGGTGGTACAGTAACATGTTCATTGAACATACCATCTTGTATCTGTATGTTATGTATTTTGCATGAAACTTCACTGCATCCTTTACCAACATTTACTTTGTGGAACAACTTTGAAGTCTGAACATGTTGTGTTGGTTGTGAATTTTATTTGATCTTATGGACTTCCCACCGATTTTAATCTTTTTTGTTGGGAATTTATGCTGAATGTGGGGATGTCTTGCACTATAAAGAAGTTTGATGACTGAGTCGTGGGTCTGTATTGAAATATCTTTTTAGTTTTGAGGCTAGAAATAGAAATGCTCATGAATGAGAAACAGTGGTGGTGGAACTTGAAGAGGAAAGTGACTTTGGGAAATGGTATTGCTGTGTGATATAAACCATCATATAAATGAATTAAATACCTAACTTCAAGTCAACAGAAACTCATTTCTAATGTGTTTGGGGCTGTTACAACTTCTGAAATGAAGCTGGAACTATTTCAGAAACAGTTTGAGAATGTTAGCTCGTGTCATTTATCTTCCTGTGAGTTGCTTCATAAGGATGGAACAGTGAATGTTCCTTTTCCAAGTGTCTGTGTTGTAGTTGTGATTGGTTCCTTGGCTGAGAATTTTGAAATGAAATTTGCTGGCTTTTTGTAGCCATGCTACAAATGTATTTATCTTTTAAAACCCATTCTCTATTTTTTGTTAGCAATGATGATCCAGAAATACTGCAACTGTAACTGATTGAACTACAGTAAGTGCTTGATTTTGTGCAGCATTTTAAACCAGGAAACTTTAATTACCTTTTATGGTTCTTTACTAGTATCTTCATTCTCTGAGTTCTATATGCTGACATGAAATTTGGCTAATATTTTGTAGCACATATACAAGTGAATAGGCTACTTTATGTATGAAAGAAACCAAACCAAAATCTGTTTATGAATCACCAATGTGTACATATATGATGTGATGTGAATTGGCATTTCAAAATTGGAACCAAACGTAAATTCTCTTGTGGTGAAAAGGTAGGCCCAAGATTCATATTAATATGGTGAGTGTATGTTATTTTTGTCATAATATTCAGCTCTGTGTTGGTTGTGGGGATATTTGAATGCAGCAGCCCTCATAGCACAAGAAGTCTTCCAGTGTGTCCCACCTGCCTAAGAGATTGAGCACCAGTACTGTAAGAGATGCATCCTACATCTGTAGCTGTTTCAAGGAAGCTCATCTAATAATTTTTAAATACATTTCAGGCACTTAAAGAATCAAGATAATTTGAGTCATTTGTCTTATGTTACACAGATTGTATAATCTTAGTCTCATGAAAGCTGTAGTTTCCATTAACCTTCAATATTCCTTACTAACCACACACTGATCATGCACTGGGAGAGTATTTTTCCCATTATGTATTGACATTTAAAATTTGTTGTATTTAGAGGAAATCATTTTGTTTGTGTCGTGTTTTTTGATATTCTGCCCTCTTGAGTATTTATTCTTCCTTTATATTCCCTGCATCACATCTTATGTGTGATCCAGCTGGCCGTGCATTGTGGTAACAAACTGCTAAACCATTAAACGTACAGCTGAAGTCTGGCTGGCTGCCCTGAAATACAGGGATACGAATTCCCTCACCCCATACAATAAAGGTTAAGTGCTGGCCATCAGCTAGAACCACTAGTATCTTAAATGGTACATCAAAGATTAAGAAAATAATCGGTGGAATTTGTGATCTTGTTGGTTGTAGGGTAAACTAATTGGTGAGCTGGAGCAGAGAGCGGATGAGATAGGTGAGGATGACAAGGACCGGATCGCTACGCTGCATGATCTCAACAACCCTGAGCTACCGAGCCCCCGAGTTCGAGAGGCCACAACAGAGCCTGATGGATCCTACTACTCATATGAAGCAGCTAAAGCAGGTAACACATCAGTGTTTACAATTATTAGTTGCTGGGTAAATGATTTCACATTAATGTTACAAAAGGGAGGTGATTTCAGGAAATTCATAGTATAATTGCTCGTTATTTCTGATCTTTTAGCACGTTTTGAGATGAGACTTTGCACTGTTTAAAATTAAATGTCTGTTGTATTTTCCCATGTTCATGTAAGTAGGTAATTAGTCTTCTATATGGAACAACAGTTTGTCTTTACTGCTGAAAACAATTTTTACAAACTTTGTATTTTCTTCATCTGTCTCTTTTCTTCTTTTTATATTCATAACCCTGCTGGTGCTGATTCTTCCTACGTTGGCTTTTTTTGCACTAGAGTACACAGGTTTATGCAGCTGTAACATTGTAGACTTGTATTCAGAAAGTTCTGTACTGACTGATGTTTTCTTTCCTCAAGTAAATTTTGAAATATTGCCTTTATGTGGGCCATTAATACAATACAGACCCTTCACTATCATTCACAGTTGTATTTCCATCTCATTGAATTGTGTCATTAAGTAACTTAAGAAGCAGTCATTCACTTCCTTGATTATTTTTGAGATAAAAGTATCCATCCTTATTTATTTTCCCACATTTTCAGCCTTGTAATTTTATCCCACATTTTGCTCACTTTCCATTTTTGTTCTCATATTGTATTGAATTTAAGATTTTAGTTTTGAAGCAAACTGTTTTCTAGACAATATCCATCGTCCAAGATTAAATAATATAAAATCAATAAAACCATGACGTTTCGGAGATGGGAGTCTATCTCCGTCTTCAGGTAAAACCTACTCTGTTAGGCGCAATTGATAGAGCTAATCCCTATCTCAGGATTTTATTTAATTTAATTTTGGACGATGGATAATGTCCAGAAAACAGTTTGCTTCAACAACGCACCATCGTCACAAACTTTCAGAAATGAGATTATAGTTTTGTTTAGAGTTGGTGCAAAGTTTTCATGGTTCAGTGGTGTTCCATGCACTGGAATACTGCAGAACTGATAAGATAAAATGCATTGTTAGCCAGTTAAGTACTGTTAGTCACTTGCTAACCAGGTTTGTTACCTAGGCTAAGACATTTAACATGAACCCTCCACCCTTTTTTAGAGAATATAAGAAACGAGTATTAAAAGTATACTCATATTCAGCATTCCTTTATTCAAACTATTTTTTGATTGTTACTTTGTGCACACGTGAAACAGATTGTGTACAGCTAATAAAAAATGTCTCTGAATTTATCTGTAAAGGATTGAAAGGCATTGGAAACAGATTTGAAAAGAAATAGCTGAACAGAGGACTTCAGTAATAACATTCCACTGAATTTGTAGCATCCAATAGGATATTATAAAGGGAGGAAGTGACATGTTACAGGTAAAGAAGCAAACAATTTATTTCTAGTATGTCACTCATTGAAATTAAGAAAGTTATGACAAGATCTGGTTATATTTGATGTCTGAAGACTAACCTTAAGTGCATCAAAAAATGTTACTGTATGAAACATCAACCAGTCAGGACTGTTGTAAACTCTCATGTTACAAGCCATATAAACAAAGTAGCATCCGTTTTCAGTCTTTATATGCACTCATTGCCTATCTGTTTTTTATTTTCATGATATAAAATGGTTATTCCTACTGTTACATATGAACATTTGTCTTTGGTACTGTGTAAGGAGATATTCAGTAAAGTAATTTGCATTGATTTAAGTCCTTCAAACTGAGTATCAAAGATATTTCCTGTACCCTTTGGCTTCCTTTCTTACCCCTAACACCAGGAAACAGTTGCATTTAGCAATATAAATTAGTGAATATGTATACTGCCATTGCTTGCTGTATATTTTACCACTGAATTAATCTTCGCACAACTAAACATGACACAGAAGATGGCTAATTCAATGCTTTCTGTGTTACTGACAGGTTTAATGGGATCATCACCAGTCACTGAACAGCGAGACCCGTTGAAGGAACGAGTGAAAGAGCATCGTATACGGCGTTTTCACTCGTCAGGAGATGCATCCCGAAGACCAATTAGTTGCAAGCTGAACAATCGTGATGCATCTATCACACAGTTTGCTGTGATAGATGATGACAATGTTTCAGCCTTGCAGCAGGTCACACGTGGAGGCGGAGGTGAGTTGCTCAATTGCAGATTCCGAATGCAAAATGAAAGTCAAGAGGATGTTGCTGTTCAAACAGCATAGTACCTTTTCAAGTAAACATATCAACAACTGAACACAAGTGTTCGGAAATAAGGAAACAATTGGTAAGGAGGAGGCTACAGATTTATCAAACCAAGATTTGAACCCAGGATGTCCTAGATATGCTCAAGGATTACTTATCATTACATTACATTGTTTGACAGCACCAGGAGTGAGGTGAAAAATTATGTATATCTGAAGAATAATAAAAGGGCATTTCTGGTACAGTTTTATGTTGTTATGTGCAGGTTTGACGCTGGCATCACAATGGAAGTCGCAGTTTGACGACTCGGAGGAGACTGATAATGAGTGGAAGGGTGAGAACCTGCAGAGTCCTGAGCACAGACACACCCTCACCTCACAGGTATTCCCCCTTACCAATGGTAGTGGGGTTTGCCACATACTTGTAACATGATAGGTCCCAACATTATTACAACCTTTAGCATAAAATACCTTGTACGAAACAAATGAAACACACGTTGAAGTTAATATAAGGTCGATTAACAGGGAAGTTTCTTTTTTTCATTGTTATGTTGAACCTCTAATTAAGGCAGTTCCAAGACAAATGAGAGCTGTTGTTGAATCTCTTGGGGATTTTGGACATCTTATTAAAAATGTCAGGTCTTGAAAATGACCCTCTCAAGAGCTAACATACTAATTCACATCTTGTATAAGTAACAGGTCTACTTTATGAAGCAAATAAAATTGTTTGTCTACAGTCAGATTCAAACATCAGACCTTTAAATTGGAATATTACTGAGAAACAAATCACAGAAAAATAAAAGAAGTACTTTCTTCCCCTTGCACTTCTAGCCTCGCCATTGCAGCACAAATAACATGGAAAATGTGAAATAAAATACTGATGATTACTTTTTGCTTAAGATGGTGGTTGTCTTCTGGGTTGTTACACCATGTAGTCTGGTAGGAGACAACCATCTTTAGTCTCACTACTTTGAAAACCTCAGATCCTACATACATTTTGCTTCTTAACAAAAGGTTCAGGTAATGCATATGCTTCACAAACAAAAACAGTTGCACATTCTCTTTTGAATATCACAATTTACATATTTTCTTTTCCAATTGCTCTTGATAGGAGTTATACACAGAAATGTTGAAACATTTAGTTGAATAATATATAACTGCACAGTTTAAATGAGTATTTCTGTGAATACAATATATGCTTTAAATGAAAACATTTGACATCAGGACTCAAACTTGCAGTTGTATTCATTTCATCAGTGCTAGCCCCCTACCCTACCAACTTGTCTACCAAGGAATACAGAAAGCCAAGTAAGTCTTTGTCTCTCTTTTGTCATGGAACTTGGTCTCACATCTTGGAAAAGTTATTAACATTAATTCATGTTTTTTTTTTTTCAAATTAGGGCAGAGATGCTGGTGTCTTCACTTAATAGATATCTGGAATAAATAAATATACATATGAATAAATATAATGAGAGTGTGAATAATTGGAAACATGATGTCTGCCTACGTCACTTTTGGTTTTTTAGCTCTTTTGTTGCGCAGTGTATGTACATAATGAGAGTGAATACAAGCAAATTTGACAGAATTCTTGCTTGTTACTTATTTCTTAAAATATTTTACTGGGTGAATCCCTGATGCCATTATCAATTGTGTATTTTAGGCCTTATGTATATCTTTGTTATAATATTAATAGAAATAAATGGGTCTGTACTGTTCTATTAGTTGCAGTTGAAAAATTTGTTTAATATATCTCTAGTAATGGATGTGAAGGTATTTAATCGGAGTGAATCAGAATTTGTTATTGTGGGCATTCTCTTCTCTCTCTTTTTGTTGTTGTTTTTTTGTTCAGCTTTACTTGGTGTACAATCTGATTAACAATGAAAACAATAACATGTAACTAAAGCTAACCTTATTACTAAACTGCAAATGATAGTTTCACTTCTTTAAATGAAGCTATAGCTTGAATTTAATGAACAGTGGTTTTATAATTGTATTTTATATTTCAGTATCTTTCAGAATTGAAATGTTTCTGGATTTTCATCAGAAATAATATTAATGCTATCCCACTTCCCTGAAAATCTGTGCTTGCAGAAAATCAGCAAATGCATTACACATCAGGGTCTGGAGCACTATGAAGGTGTATAATCATGTGTTCATTGTAGTTTCTGATGGTTGCTGTATTTCTGTCCTAGGCTGCTTTTCCAGTGGAGCCCATCCATACTGGTGGTACTGTGACTGTGCCCGAGACTTCTGCTATCGACAAACCAGCGCCTGTGCAGCAACTGATATCTAACCCAGTCCCACCACCTATCACCTTAGCTTCAGCAGCTGCAACAACAGTAACAGCATGCAATGTTCCTGTAAGTCGTGTTCCACCAGAATTGTCTCGAATCAGTGAGGACTCGCGCCATGAGAAACCCAGCCATCAACATTCACCTCAGGTAAGATACTGTATCCAGGTTTCAAGAAGTTATCAGTATTCTAAACTGCCTATAACATTAACAAGGCTTTTTAAACATAACCATGTTGTATGAATCTGTGTTAAGAGAACAAAGCTTTTCATTAATAAATCTAATTATTTGTTCACTCATTGCAGTTGTGTGGATTTGACAAATAGCCCAAATTACCTGGATTTTTTGTTGTAAAAACAGAACATACAGTAGAGAATCCTTGTTTGGACTCTTATACTGTAGGAATTCCAAATGTGTTTCACCTTTTGTGTGTTACCAGTGCTTTGCGTAATGTAAATTCACAGAAAGTCAAGTTTAATGCATTAAGTTGCAAGTTTTGTAGCATGTTTCATTCACAAGCTAACCTCCTCTGTCCTTTGCATAGGGTGGATTAATGTCATCCTTTGTATCCTATAATTAAGTACATATGAACATTTCAAATGTATATTGAAAATTTACCATTGATATTTCTTTAAATTTAAACTGAACTTCAACTTTTTACTTTTCATGTGAACTGGAGAGCATTGTATATTATGTGAGTTTGATGGATTCCTATTTTCTACTAGGCCCATGATGAAACATTACCTGTGGATAACACAAGTAATGGACATCTGAAACCCTCTTCTGGTGGACATCTTCGTTGCCTCAATATAACAGGCATTGAGAGTTTTGTCGAGCTACAGGGAATATTACCGCGTGCTTGGAGCTTACCTCAGTTAGTGGGACATATTAGGTAAATAACAAATACATCTATTTACCTGTCCTCTGTAAATGTCTGAACGCTTAAATTTTGGCTGTGATATGACTCAGTGAATTGCACTGTTTTTATATGTTTTTGATGTCAAAGTTAGTGTCACATCAGGTCACCTCTACTATTTGAAATATTTAATAACTTTTCACGTCCCCCGCCGTAGCCGCTCAGTCTGAGGCATCATGATTTGGACCGGTGATATGGAATGCGTGCTGGTTCGAGTCTCGGGGAAAGAAATTTCTCATGAGATTTTTGACCAGTGTATGGGACCGGTGTCAACCCAGCATCGCGTGGAAATTGGGGAGCTACAATGGGTAGCGTAATCCCGTCATGAAAACTAGCAATGGCTGGGGGTTCGTCGTGCTGACCACATGTCACCCTATATCTGGTTGGATGATCGTTCACCTCTGCTTAGGCATGTGGACGTGAGGTCAGCAGCCAGCTAGTCGGCTTTGGCTCTCAGAGGGCTGTTATGCAACAGATTGTTATTATTAATAATAACTTTTCACAGTTCTTGAAACAAATGCTGATGTGAACAGGCATTTCCTGTTCTTTACTGTTAACAAATTAATTTCATCTTTACGTCTTCCGCATTCCTTATTAACTTTTGTTTTCCAGGTTTGAGAACAATATTTTCACAATGAATAGAAACTTCAGAAGGTACTTCTTGTTTCTTTTGTAGTCAAAGTGAAGAGTTAAGAAGAGAAAAACAAAATTATGTGACTGAATACATGTTGTTAATCCAGTCACCTCTGATCTGAATGCTTCTCTACATATACAGAAATATGGCCAACTGCCTTTTCCATATTGTACATTCTATAAAATGGTTTCACATCATACATGAGTCAGTATCAGAAGCAGAGGTTTTTGAAGTTGCGTTTTTTTGCTGTTCATAAATTTGTAGTTGGAGCCATCTATGAACAACTGAATTACATGATTACTTACAGTGACCAGAACTCATTAGAACATTTGAAGACCATATAAATGCCTGCAACCTGAACTTGTGAAAAGGGTTGATTGAGTTTTACCTGATTTTATGTATAGCCTTAATTTATTAGAGTATTTATTTCACTAATTTTCTGAGATTGCTCATGCCTCAGAATAATATCTGAAGATTCCTCAGCTGAAAGTAGAAGGTCTTTTTAAACTTGAGGAATCTTAGCAATGACATGAATATGAAAAAACATGCACAAAACCTGGGTGGGAGTTAACAGTGTCAGGAGGAAGCAGATACAATATAGTTACTGGTATCTGATATTCTGAACTTATTTATTTATTTAACCTCCAGGAAATGTTCTTCGGTTGCTCATTCCTGTGAGTCACATTCCAGGATCTTTCAGCAGAAAATTTGTTGTGCATGGAGCTTCAAACCATGGCAGAACCTCCAAATTTGGCTGATATTGGCTATGGGTTTGAATATCAGCAGTGAAGTGAAATTTATAAAAAAAATCTACATACAAGCCACATTCAGAAAGTTTGTAGATTTAATTATCAGGCCTCAGATCATTTTGTTTGTTCTGAGGAATACCAAGTCATTGTGACTTTATCAAAGCTTTGCCCTTAAAGACTGTTCCGACTGAAATGAAAATATTGTCTTTCCAGTCTGAGTATTTATTAAATGTGTTTGCAATTTTCATTGTTTTATGACCATGTGTGGATTATGGAGGGGTGTGATGCTGCAAAGTGAAAGTAAATAAATTGTGAAAATGTTTAGGCTTCTAACTTTTTCAAATATTTATTAGATAATCCTTCTCTGATGTTATAATGCCTCAGTGCTTTCACTTAAGTAGTAGGTGACAAGATTGCCTACTGCCTTGAAGAACTGTTAATAAATATTTCTGCATTCCCCTTGTACATCACTGAAACCCTAAGTGAGATTTAAATCAATGACCTTGTGAGTCAGCATCGAATACTCCATGTTTTTAATGTCCGTACTCACTGCAGATCACAGATTTTGAAAGTTGCTTGAGTAATGTGAATTAACTTTCAATTGCAGGCCGTGGTTAGAAGCGCCATTGTTGCAGCAGGCTGCATTTGACGAATTAGTGTATGAAGTGGATGTGATGAGGAACATAGCGACACGGCAGACACAGACTGAGAAGGACAAGGCTGAACATCGGAAAGAACGTGAGAGGCGTCCAAGCTTGCCTGTAAGTTATAGTATATGGTAGCGTCAACAATTTTTAGGACAGAATTAAGCCCAATGACCGTGCCTGGTTCATGTTCAGGTGTGCATGATCCGTACACACAATGCAGTTGTTGAGTTGCCATTAGGCTTGTGGGTGTCATATGTCCGAGAAGACCCGGCACATTTCAAACTGATTACCTAAAACAGCAAGTGAACAAAATGGCAACATAATCACTGCAGACGCTTCAGACATTACATGGATAAAAAGGTATACAGTGAAACCTCGATGCATCGTTTTCGGCGGGGGTGGGAAATAAAAACGATGAATGCGGGAAAGCATTAAAAATTTAAAAAAAAAACAATGTTTCTCTTTCAAAGTTACTTCTTTTTACCAAAAAGTCTTTAATGGACAACTGGTTTGTCGAAACTTTACGTTTTAGGCCAAACAGAGCCCTTTCCACGTTCAAAATGTTTTCTTCGTCACGTTCACTAATATTATGCGCATAAAAGAACGACTTCACTTTTGCCAATGCAGCGTGTGCTTCGGCAAAACTCGGCAAAGTTCGGGCTCGCATTCGTCGTTTCTCCCTCTTCCTCACCGCTCCCTCAACCATCGCGGACTATAACAGGAAAAATGGAAGTACTATTACTGCCGAACTCAACGAAACGTAGCTGTAGAAGACCCTGAACCACTGGAAACGAGATGAACCAGAAGAATGAAAAGTGCCGCCCGTCTTTCCTTTGTACTTATAATAAAAGCATTTGTGAAGAAATTCACACTGCACATGCCATCTGGCATCGCTGGAACGAAATATGTGTGCACCCTAATTAAAATCGTAAAATTTCTGACAATGGGCACCGCCATTCACTCCAACTATCACCCCTGCACCGCTGACCCCTCATTCCAAAAGGATCTGTGCTGGTTGGGCGACATAACAGGTTACCGCTACTGTTTATTCCAAAAACATTGTGCGTCTTTCGGAATTAAATTCTAAAAATATCACGTAAATTTCGTTACAATTTCTCAGAAACGATCATTGCGGGAAAATTGTGTGCTGGGACTAAGATTTTTTAAGGATCGATGCGATAAAACGATAGTTCGAGGAACGATAGAAGCGGGAAAATGTAACATTATTTTATATGGGATGTATTCGGGACCGAACAAAACGGACGATGCATCCGGGAAAACGATAGTTCCGGGAACGATGGATAGAGGTTTCACTGTACTTAAAAGGGGATCTTAGCAAAATACATTGTCTGGGACAATGGCTAATAAGATTTTCCCTGAAATTTGAAATGGAGTTTATGCCATTAGAGACTGTTTCAATTCCACACCTCTACAATTGGTAATACCAGTTTGGTGGAGGCTCAAATTTTTTGAGGTGGGATGAAGGTCTCTCTGCCAAGATGCTGTTATTCATGATGCCATTTATCAGTGGTCATTTGAACTGTTTGAAGGAAATGATGTATTGAGTTTTCTGATTGCATATTCATTATTCTGGTAATGTATCACTTCCAGAGATTTCATGATTAATATGTGAGTACCTTAAAAGCATGACAGCAAATATAAGGTTGCATTTATCATTAATTGCTACTGTCATATTCATTTAAATAGGTTATGTAAAGCAGTATGTGGTCTAAAGCACACCTTTGTCAATATACGTCTTCTTTTCTACCTCTCCGGGCAAATTCTAGGGTTGTGCCTTCAAATAGGCCGTGACAGCTTCCTTTCTAATGTTTTTGAATTCATCAAATGCAATCATCCTCTTATACCATTAATGCTAAATGAATACCTACCAGAACTAAAGTGACTCAAGTTGAAGTTCACTGGTGAGCTTTAATGGTGTTGGTGATGTAAATACTTGTTCGATAATTTTATGGATTCGATTATACCATCTACATTATTATGTGCCGTTTGGGTTTTCAGACAATTGCCCTAAATTCATGTTCCTCAACGATGAAAAATGACAGAAGTTCTGCAGTTAGTAAAGTAGAGATGGTTCCTGTTGAAAATACACCAAGCCAACCTCAAATACAGGTGAAGATGCAGGAGGAAAAGAAAGAAGAAGATGAGGAGGTGGAAGAGGAAGAAGAAGAAGATGAAGGAAATGTTATGGAGCCAGTAGCAGGCCGGTTAGAGATTAGAGTCCTTGATCGTGCAGAAGGTTCAGCTGTGGTCGAGACTGTAAACAACTTGCCACCAACAAGTCAAGTTCCTGTCAAGAGGCCTGAACTAAATGGAGCAGAAGAACATCATCTGAAGGGTAAGAAGCTCTTAAAATATATTATTAGAGTAAAGTAGAAGTAAAAATAATGTCATTTCTTATCACCGTACCATAAACATGTGTATGAGGCACAGAGGAGAGATCATGTATTCATAGCCCTTTGATTTGTTAAGTGTCTTGTATTTCTGGCATTTGAGTTAATGTAGTTTGACTGTGATGCATCACAATTATTGTTAGATTAATGCATCTAATTTGTTGCAGTTAATGTTGAAGACTGCATACCGTCTCGAAAGCCAGTCTTGGTGGAAAACAGGAGTGAAAAAAAAGTGACAGAAATAGTGTCAGACAGGAGTTCAAAACGTGAGGAGAAGATTGGGCTATCAAAAGTGGAAACATTTAAAGTTGGGGCCATTACAAATGGGAATACTGGTAATTATTCACTTGTCACCTTTCCAGTAAATTGGACAAAAGCTGGCATAGGAATAAGTGCTTTCTTTAATGCATGACCTACTTTTGCTATTTGTACGTGGAATACATTAAGCTGTTTACAGGCCAGAAATTAGGATGACGTTCTAAGGTTGTGGAATCCTGATTTCCTGTTTCAGTGTAAGTAAAAATAAACCATTGAATTTACTTAAAATGTGCGTAAGGAAAACTTTACTACCAAATGGTAAATTAGAAAAGAACAAGTTTAATTGAGAAAATTATTTAATTATTATCGTACAGCACACATTTTAGATCTGTCACCTGTAATAAGGAAGAGAAAGCAAACATATAAATATCCTCATGTGTGTTTGAAGACAAAATTGTTTCAAGAATTTGATGTTAATTTTTAATAGGAGTTAGTTACAATGTCTTTGTGTATATTTCAATTGAGGCCTCAGAATTATATGGTAATTAATGATAATAGGTACCTTCCAAGAACTGGTAATGTTAAGTGTGAAAAGAATAAGGGTAATGTACAGACAGTCTGACAAACTTGAATTAAACAGAATTATAATAATCATTGTAAACTACTACAAGGATTGGGCCTATTGACCTGTTCCGAGACAGCTACTCAAGGCAACTTGTCCTATTAGTCTTGTTTAGTGCATTATTCAACCCTACACAATTTCAGTAGCTGATAGAATGTTATAATACAATTCTTGGCACACTAATTGAAGCTAACAATTGCTATCTGCAGGCACTAACAATGACAGGAACAGTCCAATTAGTCCAAGTGGAGTGGGGCAAGATGATCCATCTGTGTATTTTGATGCCAATGAGGAGAATGTTGCTTCTGCAGACAATGCTCAGCAGTTGAACAACAACACATCAGATGGATCTCAACATGACAAGGTATTGCTGTTACCACAGTACTCCTCAAACCTTTGAAATTTTTAATCTGAATGAGGCCTGAAGTTTATATTGGAAACCTATGGTGATGTCAAGGGGTGATGTTTAAGTGCCACATCTCAGTCTCAGGTTGAAAAGACACGCGATGTATAACCACCATGTAAATTGAAAAAGGAGACTTGAAATTATAAGTTATGCATAGCCTCCATAGTTTGTATAAACAAGTAAATATACTGATATGCTACTAATTCAGTGCACTTTATTTTGCATGTATAACACGTTTTTCTTCAGAATTATCCATTCTTAAATTAGGGTGTGTGTAATACATGTAACATACAGGGTTATTCATAATTCCCTGATACATTACAAAAAAATCACCTGACTTGAATGTTGCAAACGATGGTAACATGTGACATGCTGATAGAAAGAGAAACTCTCCAAGTTTGTTTGTACGTGCTGCGGGAGCTTAGTTTTGTTGGTGGCCGCCAGGGTGCAGGTTAGTACATCACCATATGAGGTTTAATTGAGTGAAAATGGCGACACTAGCAACAGAGAAGGCATTTTGCATGCTTGAGTATGCTCGAACAGAGTCGATCGTGACGGTGCAGCAACGCTTACGAACCAAGTTTGGAAAGTACCCACCGGTGAGGAACAGCATAAAGCAGTGGTATGAAAAATTCCAGCATGACAAGTGCATGTGCATCGCAAATGCCCGACATGCAGCAGCTCTTGGAGGAAGATGGTTTCACAGGAAAAGTGACTTTCAGCGACGAAGCTACATTTCACGTTTATTGGAAGGTGAACAGACACAATGTGCCTGTATGGGGAAGTGAAAACCCACATGCCACAATTGAGCACACTCGGGATTCACCGAAACTGGACGTTTTCTGTGCCATATCCAAAGAGAAGTTGTACGGGCCATTCTTCACTGGCATGTGCTATCGTGAGATGATGCAGGAATGGCTAATGCCGCAACTTCATTTATCAGCAAGATGGGGCTCCACCACACTACCACTGCCTCATCTGCGGCTATCTCAGTCAGCATTTGCCACAAAATTTGGATTGGATGCATGGCTACCAATAACCATGCGCTGCTTCGTTGGCCACCCCAATCACCTGACCTGACGCCATGTGATTTTTTCTTGTGGGGGTGCATTAAGGACCAGGTCTTTGTACCAATTCTGCCACGGGATCTGCCTGAACTACGAAGATGAATCATCGCTGCCATCTCACAAATCGATCGTGACATGCTGCAGCAGGTATGGGCGGAAATGGATTATCGGCTTGACGTCTGCCACGTTACAAAGGGCGGACACATAGAGCATTTATGAGGTATGTAAAATAAACTTGGAGCGTGTTTCCTTCTATCGGCATGTCCTATGTTACCATCCATTGCACCATTCAAATCTAGGAATTCATAATTATGAATTTTTGGATTTTCTGTTGCTGTCAAAGAAGGGCTGCCAACAATTATGCCATCTTTGACTAATTTAAAATACAAGTGCATCTGGGTCACAAATTTCACATATCCATAATAGAGATCATGTTGAGGTTTATCTGACCAGTCAGGGGGCAGTTTTGTGTGTTATGTCACAGTGTTCTTTAAGCCCAGTTTAGCTGAGCTTGTAGTCAACACCACACACTGTAATCATGCCATACTAAAACCCAAACTGAATAACCAACCTAATGTAATGAATGAATGAATGAAACCCTAATAAAACCACTAACCTAAGCTAATGAAAAGTAAACACACAGATTATGAGTTTGTGTCCTAATTTTTCTTTGCCCTTCAAATACTGTGCAGAACTAAAAAACATTACCATATAAATAAAAAAATAAACTATTTTAGTTTCTAAGAAATGTGGCAGAACTAGGCTCGTGCGTTTGTGAACACATACGTGCATGCACACATTGATGTAGGTGTTTGTGTTCTCTATTAAAACTTTTGAACTAATTGTTGACTTTAATGAAACTTAGACATACAAATTTATGAAACTTGTTAGACTAATTAAAATGTTTTAAAAAAGATCTGTGGTAACGTGTGAGTATAAACATTTGATGAACTTCCTGTTCAGAGTGGTCTGAAACAAGGTGATGCTTTATCACCATTACTCTTTAGTATTGCTTTAGAATATCTTGTTAATAAGGTCCAGAAAAATAAAGGAGGATTGGAATTGAACAGGACACATCAGAAAATTCTGTGCTGATGATATTAATTTATTGGGTGAAAACATAAATGCCATAAAGAGAAACACAGAAGCTTTGTTAGTTGTTGATATTTGATGGTGGTATATAAGTAAATAGATGGATCTATGTAATTAAATATATGTTCATGTCTTGTCCCCAGACTACAGGACAAAATCATAATATAAATGTAGCTAATAAATCTATTGAAAATGTGGCATAGATCATATGTTTTGGAATTATAGTAACAAATAAAATTGTATTTCTGTTCCCTGCCATGGGAGTTCTGGACTTTCTGTTTGGTATAGATGTAGAGTGTGAATCTGACTGCTCATTTTCATCTAGTTTAAAAACTGGTCATTTACCTTTACTACTCTGTAGACACGAAACGTGTTCCTAGCCAGCTTCCTTGAATAAGGAAAGACAGAGGTGTGGTATCATCATGTCCATATGTGTGTATGCGTGTGTGCCCACTAACAACTTTTGAACCAACCGATGCAGTTGTAGACCACCTTAAGTAATACCATTATAGCAGTCATGCAAACTTAAAAGTGCTAATGCCACTCAGTGTGGGGTTCTGAAATTTGTGTGACAATAGATCTTTAGGATCTTTGAAAAGTTTGCTGTTTTGTTAATTGTGTGCGCATGCTATGCAAAATTTGTTAGTAATTTTTCATTTAGTAACATTAATAAATAAAATGTTTGAACTGAACATATGAACATATGTTACAGAACTGAATCTTCTTCATACATAGAAATTTTATATGAAATATTTTTTATGTTAAAAATGACATAGATGGTAACACTGTAAAACCCGGAGATTATAATTTACAGTTTTCGATCAGAGAAAATGTTGTACAGAAGCAGATAACAAGATTCTATGTTTATTCAGATATAATTTCTTCTAGCAAACAGGAATATTTTAAATAAGGTACACAATATAAGTTCTTCCTATAACTGAATTTATAAAATAATGAGGGTTAATGTTATAGGAACTGCATCGTCGTCATTCTTCTTGTTTGTCCCCGGTTATGGAAGCTGAAGAGCAAACCAGAAAACAACAACAACAACAACAAACAGTATCAGCATTGACAACCACTAGCACCACAACAGCCACCAAGAGCAAGATTCCAGTTCCTGTTAAGAGTCCACGTGCCAGTTTCATAGATACAGAGCTAATGAGGTAAATTTGTAACAGGTGCCGTTTACATCGTGATAAGTCATTGTTCTAATGACTCTGTGTTGCGTATTGAGACGTAGCACAAAGTGTTGTCATACCAACCATTTTCCTGTACTGCTGAAATAAAGACATTGTTTTAACGCTTCATGTTGTAGATCTTGGGTTCAATTCTCAGTCCAGATGTTGGCTATCCTGTTACAGAATTTTTATTATTTTACTCAGAGCCACAGGGTGGATGCTGGGATGGTAGCATAAAGTATGCTATGGTTGTCTCATTTGACCTCCTCAACTGATCAGTCACAATCCTCTCTACCTTCCAAACATATCCTCTGTAGTTAAAAAGCCATGATTAAATAAACCGATAATTTAGTGTTCAGAATCTCTCAGGGCAGGACTTTATTATTTTTTGTCACATCGTAACACATTGGATTGTAAGCTTGTCATTCACGTAAATGTCTTGAGATTAGTCACTTCACAAGTGTCATTCAGTGACTTACCTCACAACTGTAGAGTGCTGGTTGACTAGAGGACACTTTCATCTTAATTTGTAAGCCAACACACTTTTGCAATGATTGCAATCCAGGGGCATTCAAACTTGCATCTTATGTGGACTAAGAATACACTCTAACCAATTCTGCTATTTGTCAGTTTCGTACTTACTGGTATGTGGCAAGGGACATAGATTACACACTTTTTAGCATTTAAGGGAATTACCAGATGAGTACAGAATTTTTAGCTGGGTTGTCTGTGCAGTCATGGAACAGAAAGTTAGAAATCTGATCTGGATGAATATTTTCACTCTGTTAATTAAAATTTAATTATGAAGTGTCACTTCTAAACATGTCTCCCATTGTGTTTCCTGGGCATCTCCATCTCTATCTTCCTTAATCTAATGGCAGAAATCAAGGAGACATGACAACAGTAATGTATCTTATTTTGGAATCGATTATCTTGATTCTTTTCCACAAAACCGTTGCCAATGGAGTACTTTTAAGTAGACAGTGACAACCTTCTTCAAAGTGCTTCCCTCTGCACCACTGCTCAGTTTCTTGTTCAGCACTATGTAATTTCTTTTAATTAATCTAATAATTAGAAAACTCACAGCAACAAAACAAAACAAAACCTAGTAGGAAGATGGTTGTCTTCTGGGATGTTGCACTGTGTAGTCTGGTTGAAGTTTGCTGTCATTTCAGAGGTGCTTACTGCCTCCATCATCAGGGTGATGAATACTCCAAAACGTTGGTAAACTTGTACCGGACTACATGGTGCAACAACCCAGAAGACAGCCATCTTTATATCATTGCTGTGGGAACCTCAAATCTCACTTAGGAAACCAATATTGGTGTGAAAAGCATGAACCTAATTTTAAATGAAGCGTGTCACACTGCACATTCACATTGCACATGCACAAGCATTGTGTGGTAGTTGCAGGTCATATGAAGAAGAGCAGGCGGGGCTGAACAACATGCTTCTCCACTCAGAGTCGAGTTCCTGCGTGCCCATGGCAGTGCTGCCATTACGACGCTGTTCGACACTGCCAGATGCTCGGGGGGGAGGCTCAAACAACACGAGCTCGACAGAAGATGACGCCGTGGCCCAGCAGCAGCTGACGTCGTGCACTCCAGCACTCAGACGGCGTAGGGAGAGGGAATGCAAGTATGTCACGGACCAGTCACAGCTAAACCTTCGCTTCCACCGCCCTGCACACAGGCATCGTCAGCGGCCTGTTTCTGCTTCAGCTTCCACAGAGATACGCTTACAGCAATCCATCCGGCACAGGTCAGTGATCTGCTTCTTGTAAAACTTGGCAGCTGCTTGCTGTAGATTGGCTTAACCTGGTAAGCTCTGCTCTCATCACGTTTTGTAGCCTAGAAATTTCCATTTTTCTCATTTTCAAGAAATCTGGACTTCTAATTAATGGTCTTGATAGGTTGTAAGTCATTTTCTGCAAATTCTCCTTGTGTATGCCAAAATTTCCAGAGTATTTTCCGAAAATCAGATAACTCAAGAGAAAGACCTCTCTGCTGAAGACAGTAAGTGTAATATTCTCACTGCTTAATATATGTGTGTATAAATAATATGCAATAGAAAACCAAGTTATTTCCCATATTGGCAGAAACTGTTCCATCAACTCAGTAGGTTCACTGATAGGTTAAGGGATAGCCACAACTACAAATTTCCCAGTCTTCACACTTCATCATTCCTTAACACATCATCACTGACACGTCCCTCTGAGCACTGTGTTTAGCACTCCTTTTTTGTGTTAGGGATGTCAATCCTCAGTTCAGATCTGAACCCTGACACCAGCTAAAGAATTGTGATTTCCCTTGGTCCCTCCAGGCAAGTGCCATAATAGTGCATTAAAATAGGCCATAATTGTTACTTCCTACATCCTTTGCAACAATATTCATACTCATCCTGTCAATTATCCTTTGGTGCAGTGGACACAATGCAAAATAAAACAAAGGAAGAAATGCAAGTATGGAACAACAAAGCATAGGTACAAGCAACTCCTCCTTCCTTTTTCCTGTGTATGAATTAATTCATGATAATCAAACTGATGAATAGCTTCACGGTTTATTCTCTTTCCCAGTATTTTTATACTGATTAAATTAAGTTGGTAGGATTTCAGCTTTTCATAGCAGCCAGTATGAAGATAGGTGTCTTCTGGGTTCTTGCAGATTATAGTCTGGTAGAGTTTTACCAATGTTTCAGAGGCCCTTGCTGCCTCCATCATCAGAGCAATTGATGGAGGCAGTGAG